CCTGTCATTATGTTCTGTCTTCTCAATGACAGAACCAAGGGAATGGTCTGGGTAAAACCCAGTCTCATAATTTGATTCTTACCCACTTTATTTTGAATTAATGGAGCTGTACATTTATTATATTTTAATGTAAAAAAAAAAATTTTTTAACAAAATTTTTTCTTTTTATAAAAAAAGTTTATTTTATAATTAAAACAAAAATAACAAATTTTAATACGTATTTAATTCTTAAAGGTAGTATTTTACATAATATATATATTATTTATTGTTGAATATATAAATTTTCTTTATACATAGTGAGCATTTTTATTTTTTTACTATAAATTTTATTAATTATTAATCTAAAATCAAAAAAAATTTTATCTCATACTTTTATTATTATTTTTTTCATTTTCCTTAATTATTTTGAATTCTTATTTAATCGAATTCATGATTTTTAAAAGTTAAAGTTAAAAAGTATCCGTTATTATTTTAATAAAAAATCAAATCATAATTATTCTTAATATGTAAAATCTACCTAAAGTATTACAAAAACAATTCTTTTTTTATTTAAATAAGTTTTTACCAACTCTTTCTTCTACCACTACTTAACTTACAAAATTTTATTTTATAGTTTTTTTCTTATCCCTTCTATCATTTCTAATTTCCTGTCATTTTTTTCTATTCCTATTCTATTTCTTTACTTGTATTGCAAACTATTTTGATATGTTACTATAAATACTTAAATCAAAGTAAAAAAAAACTGATTTGAATGAAATTTTAATACAGTTGAATGCATATTCTCAAATATATGTAGCAATAATATTGGATACATATACAATTTAGAAGAAATGTGAAGTAAAATTTATATTTAAAAGAATTAAAAAAATTAATAAGAGTATAATATAAATAAAATAAGAAATATAATGTTTTCTTGTAAAAACAAAAAAATATATATTTTCATATGACTTGATTTTTATCAAACTCATGCATTTTTTGTTCAATTCAATGTATGAATCAATACTTTTATTGTTCTAATTGGCTCTAATCCCATTAGTACAGTTCTCTCATTAACACACACATAAAAAAATATTCATTAATAGTCTACAAAGAAAAGAATATATAAATTTCAAATAGATAAAATTATATATTCTTTTAAAAGAACAATATCATATGTTTTATAAAAAATTCATAAAAAAAAATAATCCTTATTTCATACAATAATATATGTAGTTTGGACAAAAAGAAAAAAAAAAGCATAAGAAAATAAAAATAGAATATTATATTTAGTTACAATATGAAACATAAGAAAAAAAAAATTGAAACTCACCATATTAGTAAAAAGAAATTGTAGAGATGAAAACAAAAATATGATACATTGGTATAGAGAAAGTGATTAACAATTAGAGATTGAGAGAAAGATGGAAGGATAAAAAGATAGAAGGGCATAGAGACAAATCATAGAAAAAAGATGTCATAAAAAATCATGGAAGGGTATGCATTTATATATTTAAACATTAACTCTTCATTTTCTTTATTTAGGAGTTTTCAATATTTAAATCTTTGATTTTTGATATTAAGATAACATTACCTCATCTACCACATTTATTTATCAACTATTTTTATCATTTACAATTTTCAATTATTTGCCTATTTATCACTTTTATTATCCTTTACAATTTTTATTTATTTTTTTCATTTATTTATAATTTATAATTTATATATATTTTATATATTTTGTTTCAACATTTTAAATTAATATAATATAATATTTTAAAT